AAAAAAAAAACACTGGACATGACAGATTATATAATTTCTTAGTTTGTAGGTCATTAAGTAATTCTCTAAGAAGTCTATTTCTTGTGTATATACACTTGTATATATACACAACTGAAACATGACTGTATTTTTAGTCTGTATTTTCCTTAAAAGCAGGGATGAGCAAACAAGAGGCCCATGGGCCAAATGTAGTTTGCTCCCGTCTAAGCTAAAAATTAATTCTTTACTTTTTAAATGGATGATAAAAGAAACAAAACAAGGAATATTTTGTGACACAGAAGCATTACGTGAAAGTCTAACAAATAGTGATATAACGTCTTTGGCTCACAGCCATCCACGTTTGTGCACACTCAGCTGCTTTCTCAATACAATGGCAATCTAATTAGTTGCTAATCAAGTTTGCTACACAAACTTGGGGTCCCAAAATTCAAAATAATCACAATTCCTCTCCTTACAAGTAAATATCCTGCTCAAAAACATTCATGCCGTGAACACCTTTTTAGTTAGAAATCCATTTTTTTCTTAGAAAAAACAGAAACTTGTTAATTAGGTTTAAGAATCAACAGAAACATTTGACAAGATTAAAGTTCCTTGCTCCCAGTTTAAAATGGATTTTCTAGATAAAATTCTTAACTTTCTAAAACAAGTTCAATGTTAAAGGTTGAAGATGAACTATATAAAGACTATATACACTGATATTTATATACCTAGTTACATATAACATATATGTGTGCAAAATATATATACACATATATATATATGAAGGATGAGAATCAAATGGACGTACTATATTCTGAGAACAAACAATAAATGCTAAACAAAGGTCAGTGAAACTAAGACTATCTTTTTCTACATATCCCATTCCAACTCCCCCATCACAGATAAGGAAACTCGGCTCAGAAAATAATAAACAATGAACTGTTTTTACCTCCTCTTGCTGGCAGAAATGTAAGAAACGAAGGGACAGAAATTAGGAAACCTTCTGAAGCATCTCAAACTCTTGGTGCCACCATGCTACGTCTTAAAATGCTTTTCTTCCCTATAATTAAACATCCAATTTGGTCTCAACCCTGGCAAGTGGAATTAGCAAAAGGAGGCACCACTTCCCCCAACATTAAAAATATCAGGGAGAACAATAGGTATCTATTTGCATCTCATAGGACCCTTCAAAGAAAACCTCCCAGGGGCTGGGAAGGTGGCTCAGTGGTAGAGCACATGCCTTGCATGCCAGAGGCCCTGGGTTCAATTCCTCAGCACCACATAAGCAAAAAGAAAAAAGCTGGAAGTGGCGCTGTGGCTCAAGTGGTAGATCACTAGCCTTGAGCTGAAGAGCTGAGGGACAGCGCCCAGGCCCAGAGTTCAGGCCCCATGACTGGACCCAAAAAAAACAAAGAAAACCTCCCAGTTCTGAAAGACCTCTCTCCAGTAAAGGAATTATCCACAAACACACACTTCAAGGAATTCCACTCCAGGATAGATCACAGGGGAGTTTTCATTGTACCAAAAAGGGGTACACAGTCACCAAAACTCTGAAGCAGGAATTCTGCTACATTAGAACCTAGTTTATGAAGGGCTAAAGACATCTGCCCTTTTCCCTGAGGCAGTTTGGTTTAAATCAAAACAGAATCATGTGGAAGACATGAGTATTCCATTTGCAGACTCTTCCTTCAAAACAAACTAAAGAGGGCTGGGAAGGTGGCTCAGTGGTAGAGTGCTTGCCTTGCATGCATGAGGCCCTGGGTTCAATTCCTCAGCACCACATAAGCAGAAAAAAAAGCTGGAAGTGGTGCTGTGGCTCAAGTGGTAGAGCCCTAGCCTTGAGCTGAAGAGCTGAGGACAGCGCCCAGGCCCAGAGTTCCGGCCCCACGACTAGACCCAAAAAAAAAAAACTAAAGAACAAAACCCAAAGAATTGCCAATGCTGGGTTAACTACAATATTGACATCATCATAAACACAATGCTTCTATAATTTTATCAGGTATTATATAGATTTGTAGCTATTTTATACTGACTTGATGTTATACAGGGAAATAAGTTATACTCATAAAACTAATTTTCAAGTTTTTGTAGAAATATTTACTGCCAAGGTTAAAGTGACAGAGGAATGTTATATATGCCTTTGTTCTTTCCTTGTAGAATACCTTATTTTATGTCTTGTTTCCAAGTTTACTACATTTCTATAATTCTGCTTAATCATCACTGGAATATAAGACCAGCCATATAACTCAGTTATGAGTCAGCAAACAATCTGAGTTGGTAATCTCCCCAAAAAGTCTGTTGGCATGAAAATTCATGATCTCCTGTTCGTTGTGATACAATGCTTAAAGTTTTGAACTAGATGATGTGAAGTTCAATTTAACTTCTGATTTCCTGATTCAAATGTCAGAGTAAATTCCTGTCTAGCTAAGATTTGGGTCCTATATTATATGCACCAATTACCACACAGGATTACCAGGGAAATAAATATTGATGTAATTAAGGCACTATAAAATCTTAAAGGATATTCTGGGCATAAATATACTGAATATACAGTAATATGTTAAAAATTAACCTCAGGTCTCACAACATTTGAGGGGTGAAAGTTTTACTTAAAAAAATTTTTTTAATTGGCAAGGCAACATTTACTTCTGTGCAAAATGGGGCAAGCAAATACTAAGTTTCTTTTCCACAGAATATTTTTGGACTTGTTTCTAAATCTGCTTCTCTTCCCTTTCACTTAAAAAGGGAACCGTAGATGCAAATAAGTCTAGAGAGAAGTTCTCAATGATCCAGCCAGATAACATTATTTTTATATATTATTTTTAAATAAGTATTTCACCAATCTTGTTTACAAAAGCTACTGTTAAAGTTCAACTTAGGTTTTCCATATAAATAATTAAAACAAATTTCACCACTTTTTGTACAGATAAGAAGGTTGCTAGTTATCAACTGTAGTGGGCAGTAGCCCAGATGAAAGTTAACAAAAGCAGACATTCACTCCTTCCAAAGAGTGTGTAGTGTACTTGATGTTCCAGAACATACCCAGAAAGACAATGGGGATATCTGTGTGCCATATTCCACAAGCCTCCACTTTCTTGCTAGATGTAAATGTTCCAGGCCTAGTATTTTTTTAGTCCTTATCTGCCTAAAAGCAACCAAAGTCTCTTCATTTTCTAAGCCTAAGCAATTACTTCCTCTTCATTGCCCAATCTTTGATTTCTTGTAAACTCTTATTTCATGATTTATATCTATTATATATGTGTACATATATACATTTATATGGGGTTTTTGTTGTTTTGTTTTTTGGCCGATAGTGAGGCTTGAACTCAGGGCCTCTGTTCTCACTCTGCTTTTTCAAGCGCCAGGTTTTGTCTGGTTAATTGAGTATACACTCTGCAAGATTTGCCTGCCCAGGCTAGCTTTGAACCTCAGATCTCAGCCTTGGGAGTAGGATTACTGGCATGAATCACCGGGGCCCGGATTCATAACTAATAATAAACTGTGTTGTTACTCAATTTTGTGACTTTTTCTAATTTCCTTTTAACCTGACCCAGAATAAGTATGTGAAAAACTTTCAGGAAACGAATTCACCACAGTCTTTCACATCTGGCATAAATTATGTGCTCTGAAAACACTGCGTGCTTTCTGCTTCCGCTTTACTGGGTTGCAGCTGAGGTCCTGTATATGTGTCTGTACAGGTTAGCTAACACCTATCCTATTAGCCCAGTTACTTCACCAGCAAGTCTACTAATTTTCCAAAAACACAAGGTTAGCCCGAGGTTACTTCAGATTTTCCGTCTGTCCAGAAGACCTGGAATAAAAAATCCTCAGATTACCAATAGGGCTCAGTAAACAGAAAAAGTTTAAAAATAAATGAGCTGTACACCTTCCCCGACTCTCCCTTGAAAGGGAGATTAGTCGGTGTCAGGGACTAAACCGATCTGTGTAGCATTTCAGTTTCCCACTCCGGCTGACACGGAATACTCGCTCGTCCTGCCCACCTGCACTCGAGGATGGAAGAAAGGGGGTGTGCAAGGCGCGCCTACCTCCCCACCGGCCGGCGCGAGCAGGTGGCGGGACGGCTACGCGGAGGAGGGATGGACCGGCCCCCCGCAACTCTGCAGGGGAAACCGCGAGGCCCTTTCTTTCCCTCCCCCCTCCCACCCCGCCCGCAGAGGGCCCAGCTGATCATGGTCCACGTGACGCCTGCCGGCCAATCACGAGGCGCCGGGCGGCGAGCGCGGCGGTGGCGGGGCCTCCTCCGGCACAACAAACACGGGCAGAACAGCTGGGCGGGCGCTGCGGCCCGGCCGGGGCAGGTTGCCCGTCGGTCTCCCCGAGCCCGACGTACAAAAGGGTAAAGGCGGTAGCTGTTTACCCGACGGGGCAGAGGCGGGCACCGACCCCGCCAGGCACGAGCTCAGCCATTGGGAGCAGGCGGGGGTCGTCTTCCAGGCTGCGGCGACCCCCACGCCCGGCCGGGGACTCCGCGCCGGGCCCCGGGGCGCGGGCCTGC